CCAAACTCCATGCAGGAAGGCCTCACATCTCGAACCCAGAACCTTCTTACTGTGAGGCCACAGGGTGAACCCCTCAGCGCCATGCCACTTATTGAAACAGCTGTAAGCTGAATAATCTTCTAAAGCCAAACTCAAGTGTCAGTAGCTAACCCAATATCTTCTGTCTTAGCTTGATGGAAAAATTTGAGTTTGAGTTTTAGAACCTGAGGATCTGGGGGACTAGTACTCAAGAGTGTGCCTCAAAACATTTAAAATCTGTCACCTAGAGCTAAAATCAAATCAGTTTTGACATGTTCTTGTTTCAGTCACTTTGCAAAGAAAAATCATTTGCTGCTTTTCATTGTTATGGACTTTTGGTTGAAAAGAATCAGACATTTGAAGACTTCATCTTGGCCTCTAGAAGTTAGTGTTTCTTTCTCACATTTGATTAATTAATTATGAAAATAATAGTTGCATCCCTAAAGTACATGGCGTATTTTTTTTATCTCGAAATACAACAGTCAGTCATATTACTTTAGATTAAGATATAATAATAATCATAACAACAACAATAACAATAATAATAATAAGAAGAGGTAAAAAAAAACAAACCTTAACCAACTAGGGGAAACATACAAAATCATTTGGAGATGCAGTCTCACACATAAGACTCATCACCAGGTAAAAGAACATACTCCAGACATGACTCACTTGTCTGTTTACCTGCCCTGTTTCTCCCTCTTCACACTCTCTTCTGTGCAGCTGCACTCCTTTCAGTGATGGAATACGGGAGGTTGATTCATCGGGGTGAACTTTTGGTCAAGAGCAGACAGAACCCTACAATGGCGTCACGTGACTCTTAAAATAGATATAATAGTGTAGAGGTTAGAGGGGTCGTTCTGAGGTGTATATTATCACATATACTTGGTAGACACCCATTTCTGACGTAGGTCTGCAGGTTTCTATGTACTTCCTTCCTGTGTAAACCAGTGACGTACGGTCAGGGGAGGCAGGTGAGGCAGAGCCTCCCCTGTCAATCTTGAAAAGAAAAAAAAAAGTTTACCATAAAATATAATAAATGTTAATATTTGTCGGCTGGTGTGTGTTGTAGGCCCTTTTGCCGTTCGTATCCGATGTTGAAGGAATTTTTTTCAATAAAGAATAGCAGAATTTCCGTATGTCCCGTTCAAATACATGGAGGAGATGCGCGATGAGGCAGCACTTTGCTGTGCCTCTCGGTGGATCGTGTAATCCTCACAAACTGTATGCGATGCAAATAGTGTGTCGCTGTCCCT